CCAGCAACAACAAGAACAACAAAAACCTTTCTTTCACCCCTCCCGTTTCATCTCCCCCGTAAAAACACAACTTTTGGTAGCCTTTGGAAAGTCCAAACTTGCTACTTATCCTAGCAATTCTACGGCAGGACCAAATTTCAAACGCAGCTATTTTGTTTTTAGTTACTAAAAACATGAAGAGGTAGCATTCCTGCATTTTCTTTCATAAAGTGAGACATACTTGCTTGGATTTACTTGATTTGTACATTTGGCCATAATTTAATTTTTTATTTGTTATTCTTATGTTTATTTCTCTTTCACTTTTTCAGTTGTCTGTGATTGTTGCCCCCAGATATTTGAATTGGTGTTCTTGTTCGATGTTCTCCCGGTCTATGGTTATGTTTCTTGTTTTTCCAGTTTATTTTGATATGGCCATTATTAAGCAAAGCACCGCGCAATTCTTTGATGTATACAACACTGACACAGATAGCAAACCACCCATTCATACTCTGCAATAACTGTGAAACGCCACCATTGGTCTTAATACCCCCCCCCCCCCAAAGCGCTGTCCTGCTTTTCACACGCAATAGACCGTGGTCGATGAGGCGGGACTTAGGATAGCCCGCTGAAACGCTTTTGACCTTGTACTAAACCTGCACCGTTTCTTTAGCGTAGGGGGCGGGAGTGCGCCAAAAATGGAGCCGCTCTAGCTTAACCTTCGGCCAGACTCAGAGCCGCTCAAGCAATATGAACTGGTCAGAAAAAGGGGCGTGGTCACTAGGAGGGTGAACGTCAGGACAGTGTAATGAAGTAGATATGTTACAGTAAGAACACGTACCTAGTGAATACGCGTAATTACTGAATATTTCAGTGAAAACGTGTAATCCCTTTTTCACTCGGAGATTTCACGTAATCACTGAAATAATCAGGAATTACGTGAAATCCCTGAAAAAAGGTGACAGAAATTACGCGTAATCGCTGATCAGACATTTGTAGTATATGCAAATGTTTATGGCTTAAATAGTCAGTTCGGTAACAGATACTTCTTCAGTCAAAATAGATAATTATTGTTTTTCTGTGCTCCTACAAACAATTCTATTGGGCTTGTCAATCCCATTTTCCTGCATGTTCCTGACATTTGTGTTTTCTTCGGTATAGCTTTTCAATAACCGTTCAACCAAACATATAGGCCCCATGAAGACCTCCAAACCACAACAAAGAAAAGGAATCGGGAATGATAATGTCACAAAACAAGTCTGGTTTTGAAAATGTCATTTTGCAAAGAGCAGTGTAGGAGAGAGGAAAGGGGAACAGAAAAACCAACAACTCATGAACATACAATGGGCTTCAAGGTCAGTGGTCGTAGAGAGTCAGTATCTTGAGTACACCCATTTGAAGGAAAATAGATAACAATGAATCATTCGAATCTGGGTAGAGATGAAACATTTCGCCAGTGTCAGGACAACACTACCACCTACCTGAGATCCTACAGGGATGCATACAAGCCTTTACAACCCCCAAGCAAATAGAATGCCTCTACGACAGAGGGAGGCATTGCGCTGCCAAGAGCGAATGCTCGCAGCTAAAGGGATTTGAAAACAATAACAACAACAGCAACAACCTCCTCTCCTGCTCCCAAACAATATTCTGCCATCTGCTTTCGTCTCCACTTTACCCCCCCCCCTCCTCTAGGCTCTTTACTCTTTATGCAGCTTTTCTACTACTACTCTCCGGCTCCTTCTTACTGCTGTCTTTTAACCACACCCCTGGTCTTCGGGTAGGAAAATCTACTCCTTGCCTTCTCGGACAAGGATGAAAAACCTCGGAGGTCCCGTGTGCAAGTTGCGCAAGTTTAAGATGAAAATGTTGTGTCCCGCGCGCTCATATGACCTGATCCTGTTGCTAATACTGTAAAATATTTACCCCCCAAAAAGAAAATAAAAGACAGAAGCTACTGTTTAATTTTCATATTTAATTATTTTGACACAACGCACATGCACTCTATCAACTCGACTTCACGTTGACTATTATGGGTTTTGGGAAATGCTTGAAAAGTTATTGTTTCTGTTGGAAAAGTTAATTTAAAAAAAATTGTGCTCTCCAAACTAACCGTCCAACAATCTAATCTTAATTATTTTCTATTGGTCGCTTTTCTGCCTTTGTTGGCGTAGGCCCTATCCGGGCGTACACATCGACGGGGCGTACGCCTCTTCTGATTGGCTGATCCTGGTATCGTGTTGTGGGGGACAGTGGAGGGTGTCACTGCGGGGTATACGTCTCAAACTGCTTGGACTCGTGCACTGTGTTTCTGCATCTTTCGCTCCCACGTGGTCTGGTTGCCATTTTCGTTG